GGCCGCCCGCCCCGGACCACGGCCCCGCCCTGGGCGTCGTGCTGCACCCGTGGCGGCAGCGGCTCTGCCAGGAGAAGGCCCCCCGGCCCCGCCCCGGGACCTCAGGCCCCAGCTGGGCCAGAAACCCTCAGCCTAGCTGTGGCCAAGTGCTGACACCAGCACAGCGGTGCCATGGGGAGTATAAATAGAGGGAGGCAGAAGCCATAATAGGGCTTTGCCCTCTGCTGAGTAAAAAAAGACTCGACAAATTATCGGATCCAGCTGGCCCTGCGGCAGCCCGCGGCCTGGGGTGGCCAGCAGGCTCCGTGGCCACGTCTCAGCCGGCGTCGCCCACACGGCGGGGCGGGCGTGGCAGCAGGAGAAATGGCGTCTGACGTGAGCTCCCCAGACAGCCGGCCCCTCCTGCAGGAGCCGCTTGCCAGACAGTGTGCACGCGTGTGCATGTGCCTGGGTGTGTATGCTCATACACACGTACACACACACACACACACACACACACACACAATGGTCCATGCGAACCGCACAGCCGCACACGCACGTGCTCACACAGCCTCAAACAGGCCTGCAGCGCGGTTCCACCCGTGTGGCCTCGCATGGCCTGGATGGGACCAGAGGAAGCAGACCCACCACGCAGACGGGGCCGAGGTCCGGGAGGGAGAGGCGGGCCCAGCGGCTGTTGGGGGCAGAGCCCTGGCGTCTCCCCGGCGACCGGAGCCTCTGAGGACACTTCCACGGAGCGAGGACCGTGGCAGTGCTGTGCCGTCTGCTTTGGCAGAACATCACCAAACCAGGGCCAGGTGCTCACCTCGCCGGCTCACAGCGCTTCCAGGTGTGGCCTCACTCCATCTTCACAGACAGCCCTTGAGCGAGCTGTCCGCCCTCCCTTCTCCATCCTCCATTCTTCGTCCTCTCCCATTCTCCGTCCCCCATTCCCCGTCCTCCATTCTCCGTCCTCCATTCCCCGTCCTCCATTCCCCATCCTCCATTCTCCGTCCTCCATTCCCCGTCCTCCCTTCTCCATCCTCCATTCTCCGTCCCCCATTCTCTGTCCCCCGTTCTCCGTCCTCCATTCCCCGTCCTTCATTCTCCGTCCTCCCATTCCCCGTCCTCCATTCTCCGTCCTCCATTCTCCGTCCTCCATTCCCCGTCCTCCGTTCTCCATCCTCCGTTCTCCATCCTCCATTCTCCGCCCCCCATTCTCTGTCCCCCGTTTTCCATCCCCCATTCCCCGTCCTCCTTTCTCCATCCTCCGTTCTCCGTTCTCCGTCCTCCATTCCCCGTCCTCCCTTCTCCGTCCTCCCATTTCCCGTCCTCCCATTCCCCGCCCTCCATTCTCCATCCTCCATTCTCCATCCTCCATTCTCCGTCCCCCATTCTCTGTCCCCCGTTTTCCATCCCCCATTCCCCGTCCTCCGTTCTCCGTCCTCCTGTTCTCCGAGAGGAAGGCTGAGGCCCGCCCGCCAGCCGCCAGGGTCTCAGAGGGAGCAGCTCAGTTTGCACTTTCTCGACTGCCCACCTGCCTGGGGTTTGCCAAGGATTGTCCCCCACACCCAATGCCTGTGGCTCAGCACAGGGGACCCCCCCGCCCCCCAGTCAAGCTGTCAGTGTCTGTCTGTCTGTCTGCAGAACACCAGCCTCGTGTGCAGGGCAGAGAAAGGCGAGAGACCCCCAGATCTCCCACTGCCCCCTCGGAGACCCCCTCTTCCTCACAGCAGCACTCCTGCGCCCAGCACTCCGGGGGATGCCCCGCCGGCCCGGTGACTGAGGGGCTTTCCAGCGGGAAGCTGGGCGCCCTGGGAGAGCAGCCCACGTCCTGCCAGGAAGGAGGGGCCGGACTGCACCGGGGGCCGGGCACCACGAAGGAGGCGTGTGGGTGCATTTCTGAGATGAAAGGAAGGGAAGAGGGGGAGGAGAAAAGGCCGAGTTCAGCGCCACCTCCTCCAGGAAGCCTCCCCAGATCTCCCCATGTAGACGACCCTCCCGGCTGCTTTGAGGGACGCTGGGCATGGAATGAACCGTGAGGTGAGTGGGTCCGTGTGCACCTCCCTCTGAATGCAGCTCCTGGAGGGCCCTGCCACCCTCGCCTCTATCTCCCCGTAACCCCAGGCCAGCCTGGGGTGTAAGACAACACCCTTCAGGGGCAGGAGGCCATGCAGGTGGGAGGAGGGCCCGGCTAAAGGCAGGCTGGGGGCTCAGGCAGCTGGGACGTGCCGATCAAAAAGAAGGGAGAAAGGAGGAGAGAGGAAAGAGGGAGGAAGGAAGGGAAGGAGAGAGGGAAGGAGGAAGGGAGGAGGGAGGGAAGGAAGGAAGGATTCTGCTGGCAGAACCCCCTCCCCAGGGCAGAACTCCCCTCCCCCGGGCCATACACGGGCTGGTACCCAGGCCCGGCCACAGCGCGGGGTGCCCTCCCAGGGGAGAGCGGATGTGGAGTGAGAAGGTAGCCCCTGACTGTCAGAGGCACGGAGGCCTGGTCTTGTGGGGCAGGAAGGAGGGAGAAGCTCTCTCGGGGCCCAGAGGGCAGACAGACCCAGAATCCGCGGCCCCTGCTCCCCGCTTCCCAGCCTCTTAGAGCCCCAGTCAGCGACTCCCTGACCAAAGGCTGCGTGAGGGTCCGAGGAGACGCCGTGGGCACGGGCTCAGAAGCCCCTCACAACCGTCCCCCACGTGTGGCGGTCTCCCTGAGGCAGGAGCCCCCCCTCTTCTCCCAAGAGACCCCAGCGCCTCAGGGCTCTGGGGACTGATCCTGACCCTCCCGGGCTCCGAGCCAGCCCGTGCCCCGTCACTGTCAGGAAGGGGGTCCAGGAGCAGCGGGTGCCCGCTCCCCGGGGACCAGGGAGGCGGCAGGGACAATGGCGAGGCGGGGCAGGCAGCATCAGCTGTGCTGGCCGCGGGCGTGGCCGTGGTGAGGATCCAGAAATATCTGAAGGGCGGGGTCCCAGGCAGGCTCCGGCCAGCACCCCGGGGACCGCGCTGGAACAGAGCATCAGAGAGGGGACCGCCTGGGCCGGGGGCAGCAACGCCCGCCGGGCCACGGCTGGTGGCCACTGCCGCTGGGCAGTGACCACACCGCCAGCCACCGAAATCCGGAGCAGATGAGGGAAGGCCTTGGGTCCGGGGCCGCCCACCGCTGTTCCCTTCTGGGGGGGAGAGGGGGTGTCTCTGCAGCCAACTCGATTGAGTCAGAGGAAACTTAACCCTTTGAACCCGGACGAGTCCCACCAAACTTGGACGGTTCTTCCCACAAATTATGGCAAGAAGCGGTCACGTGACCGGGGCCGGCCAATGCCGTGCAGAGGAGATGACCTCAATTTCCAAATATTGGGGTCATGTTTCATTTCACATACTCTCCTTTGCCCGTTACGACGCTAAACGGCCCCAAATGCAATCTTAATAACTTCTCGTTCCCCCGCTCCTTGGCCGCGGAGGGAGGAGAGGGAGCGCGTCCAGGGAAACGCAGAAAACATCTGGAGCCCCGGCCCGCGCCCCTCCCGGCCGGCCACGCACGGCGCTCCCTCCAAGGTCCCACCCTGGGCGGCGTGGCGGGCCCGCCAGGGACATGGCTGCTTCTCACGCTTCCAACGTCTTCTGGACGGAGCACACGCCTGGAGCGGCCGCCAGGCCCACCCCCGGCTCCGGCTCCGGCTCCAGGCCCGGCCCTCCGTTTGGAAGGGAAACCGAGAGGAAGCAGGGGCGGCGGGCAGGGGGCAGGGGTGGGGAGCAAACTGCCAGCCCCGTGCCCAGGCACACGCACGCTCTGCACGCTGCTGGCCTGCACCCAGCTCCAGCTTTTTGGGGTGGCCGCTCCCCCGAGCTCCTGGGAGAGAGCACATCCGAGGGGCTGGGGCCAGGTCCCTGGTGGGCTGGGGGTCCCCTGAGCACATCCCCAAACCACTGGCACCCTTTCCTGGAGGCTGCCCCTCCCCCCCCATCCAGCTGACCTGACGGGGCTTGCCGGCACCACGGTGGCAGCCCAGGGGTGAGACCTCAGGTCCCCCGGCCAGGCAGGCGCCCCCCGCCCCCAGCCCCTGCCTCCTGCTCGCCCCCCTCCGGGGCCCACAGCACTCCGTGGCCAGGAAAAGGGGAAGAATCACTGCCTTGGCGAGTGAAACATGGAAACTGGTTCTTCCCACACATCCCCGAGCCAGCAGCGAGGAGGGGGAGGGGGGCTGCCCTTCCCTCTGCCTGTCCTCCCCCCAGCACTCTGGGGCTCATCTCCCGTGTCAGCGGGGACTTGGGGGGCTTCCCGAGGAGACCCGGCCATAGGCCCCAGCAGGCGATGCTTAGAAAGTCACTGTCCAATCAGGAGTCTCGCCACCAGGGCAGCTCCCAGGGCGCCTTCTAAGGGCAGAGCTGGCAGGGGAGCCTGAGTCTGGGCACCCAGAACCCGCCAGCCTGGCCTGCTCCCCTGCCCGTCCCTGGGGGCTCCGGGTGGGACCCCCTCCCCCTGGGGTCTCAGGGCCAGGACTGCCAGAGGCCCGGCCCCTGCGAGGCAGAGCCAGCGGGTCTGAGGGGGGAGAGCGGTCCAGGGCGGAGCAGGGCTGGGGCTCCTCCAGCTTCCGGGATCCCCGCCGGGGCCCCCACCCCAAGAATGGACAGACTGTGACTCTAGGGGGCGACCCTGCCCGGTTTGGGGAGAGGAAGCTGTGCAGGCCCCTTGGCTGGGTCGTGGGGCGGAGACCGCGAAGTTTCTGCACAAAAGTGTGCGGCTCGGGCAGCCCCTGGCGGGTCCCACGTGCAGCGCCGGCCCGCGGGCAGCCCCACCCGGCCTGCCACGGCGCGGGGGGCACGGTCTCCCTCCCGGGGGCCCCAACTCCTGGCATTCGGGGTCCCGCCCGTGCATTCCACAGCCGGGGGGACCCGTGCAGGCGCGAGACAGGCCCGTGGCCGGCGCCGGGGTGACAGCCGCACCGGTCCGCGCGCCTCCTGCAGCCCCGCCCGCGCCCCGCGCCCCGCGCCCCGCGCCCCGCGCCCCGCGCCCCGGCCCCAGCCCCCGCCCTTACCTGCGCGGCTCGGGGGCGGCGCCCACAGCAGGAGCAGCAGCAGCAGCGGGCGTTGGGACCGGGAGCCGGGCGCCCGGACGGAGCGGGCTGCGCGCTTTCCAGCGGGTGTGGACGTCCATGCCGGCGGGCGCGGGGCGCGGGGCGCGGGGACTCTCGGGCGCGGGCTCGGCGGGCGGCCCGGCCTCAGGAAGGCATGGGGGGCGGCCCCAGCCCAGGCCCGCGCTTTGTGGCCGCGGCTCCGGGCGCGCTCGCCCACGGGCGGGAGGGCTGGACCGTGGCCCCGGGGCGGCCGGGACCCCGCTCGGCGCGCTCTCCTCGCCTCCTCCGACGCTTGCAACTCCCGCTCGTCCGCCCTGGCCGCCGCCGCCCCGCGACCGTGCTCCGTGGGCGCTGCGCTCGCGGGAGGTGGGCGCCGCGGGGACCGAGTGCGGGCCGGGCCGGGGCGCCAGCACTTTTCCCCGCGCCCGCCCCCCGCCCGGGCCGCTCCGCCGGCTGTCGCTCCGCCGCGCCGGCCGCCAATCAGAGCCCGGGCTGCGCTCGGCCGGGCCGGCCCCCGCCTCCCATTGGGCGCCGCGGCGCGGGGCGGGGCCGGCGGGCCGGCCGGGCGAGGAAGGGGCGGCCCGGGACGGAGCGGACGTGGGCGGGCGCGGCCCCCATCCCGCGGGGAGCCGAGCGGAGCGGGGCGCGCGGCGGGCGAGGGCGGCCTCGGAGCCCCAGGCCCACCGGCTCCGCGCCCCAGGAACCCGCGTGGAGGCCCGATGTGATCACTCGGGGTTTCGAAGAAGGGGGGAGGGGGAAAGTGGGGGCTCCCCCCGCCGGACTGTCCTCGTTCGCGGAGGAGCCAAGCTGCTCTGGGTGGAGCAGCTTCGGGCCGGCCAGTCCGGGCGCCCCAGACTGCAGCCGGGACAGGCCCGCCCTGCCTCCCCCGCGGCGGACCGGACCGTGGAGGCCGGGAGGGTCTGAGCTCCAGGGAGGCCTCCATGCTGCACATCTGGGCCAGGAACCCCGAGAAGTCTGACCCACACCCCGAGCTCCCCTCCTCACTCAGCGGGACGCCCCCCTGGAGCTGACAGCAGGCCAGGGAGTGAGGGGCCTCGATCCCCCGGGGCTGTGGGCGCTGCAGGCACTGCCTCCCGCCTCTGAGCTGTGAGGTCTCCCTCCAGCAGGCCCGCAGGTTCCTGGCTGTGGGTGGGCACCCGCCCGGCAGGCTGCCCAGGCCCAGGAGCCTCTGGCCCGGCTGCAGAAGCAAAATAGAGGGTGTGAAGTGAGGGGCTCCCCCCACCGAACCCATCCGTCCCCTTTGCACACACAGCCCAGCCCTGGATGCGGAACCGGGGCTGGACCCCGGCCCTGACCCCGTTCCATCTGCAGCCTCAGCGAGAGGTCCCTCCAGCCCCTTCCGCTCCCTTCACCTGGGACCTGACAGGAGGGTGCAGGGAGGGGGGGCTGCTGGGGCCCCTGTGGCCTCTGGCTTGTGGGAGGGTGGCTGGTGCAACCTAGCAGGTTAGGGGCCACATCCCTCTGCCCCCTCTGCCCCCTCTGTCCCCCCTGTTCCTCCCCACCCCGCTCTGAGGGGTCAGATTTGCCTGGGCACATACCCGGGGAATGGATGAGTGAGATGCATTAAGGAAAGCAAACTTTGCAGTTTTCTTCCTTTCTTATTTGGCTTTTTTGCCACGTGCACATCATTCCTGTGACGGGAGAAGACGTGTTTGAGTTGCATGCATGTGTGTGGGTGCATGTGTGAGGTGTGGGGGGGGCAGGCTAGACCCGCTGGATCCTCACTGTCCTGTGAGTTCATGAGAGACGTCCCATTGGGCTCCCTGAGCCGCAGCGCCCCCAGGCGCCCCCTCCCCCAGGTGCCCACCGGCGCCTCAGGTGGGAAGGCCAGTGTCCCCCTGAAGACAGCCTGGGCATCAGAAGGGAGCACAGACACTCAGGCTCAGCTCTTCCCGAGCACCTGGGTCGCCTCTGAGCCACCTGAGCCTTCGTCCCGGCCGCCAGCCTCCCAGCACCTAGGGCTCAGGATGGCACCTGAGCTGGGCTGGTGTGGGCACCGCTGGTCCCTCAGGAGCTGAGGGTCAGGACCAGCGGGTGCCCAGAGAGCGGCCTCTCAGGTACGAGAAGAAGACGTGGACCCGGCCGGCGTGGCTCAGGGGCTGAGCATCAACCTATGAGCCAGGAGGTCAGGGTTCGATTCCCGGTCAGGGCCCGGGCCCAGGAGGCAGCCGGTCTGTGATTCCCTCTCCTCACGGATGTCTCTCTCTCTCTCCCTCTCCCTTCCTCTTGAAGCCAATAAGAAATGGGGCCTGTGGTGCAGACAGGGGCCCCGGTGGAAGGCGGCGAGTGTGTAAACCGTGGGATGTCTCGCTGAGGCGAGGGTCCTGCTCCCCTCGGCACCAGGTGCTGAGGGTCTGACTCTCCCGCGTCCCTGCGGGATGCCGGCTGCTGCGGCCGCCGCTGTGCCGGCCCCTCCCCGTCCGGGGAAGCCGCTCCGGTGCCGGGACACGCCTGCCCGTCCGCAGAACACCCCCGCTTACTGTTTAGGAAGCTGCTGTCACCCCCACAGCGGCCGGGTCCGTGCACACGCCGGCTGCTCTCCTCACGACCAGACGGGCGATGGGAACGAACGGCAGACGTGTGTTCCCTCCGAGCTCCGAGGCCGGAGGTCTGAGACCAGGTGTCCTCCGCCTCACGCCCCCACGGGCCCAGGGGAGGGTCCCCCCTGCCTCTCCGCTCCTGGCCGTGCCAGGCGGCCTTGGCTTGTGGCCGCATCCCTCCGTCTCTGTCTTCTCCTCCACACGCCCTCCTCTGGCGTCTGTGACTCCATCCCCCGCCTCCCTTTCCTAAGGACGCTCCCGATGGCACCGAGGGCCGCAGGGACACCCCGCAGGCCTCCATCTCCCTCCCGGGCCTGAGCCCAATGACGCCTGAAAGACCCTTTTCCCAACACTGGGCCACCCACCCACCGCGTCGGACAAGTACGGAGCCCCCGAGCCTGGAGCCCCTGGCACTGCCCACACCGAGGCCGAGGGGACACCGAGCCAGACACTGGTGTGAAGGGAGGGGTCAGCCACGGTGTGGAGGGAGGGGCAGTGGTACCTGTTGGCAGCCGGCGTCCTCAGGGCTGGCACCAGGCAGGCCCAGGCGGCAGGAGGACAGGGACTGGGAGCCCGGAGCCCGCCGCACGCCCCTGGCCTGCCCGCGCGCTGGGCGGCTGCTTTGCCCGCGGGGCCCGGTTTTGCTTGTTTGCATGGTTCGTATTAAGCCAACATTTTCCACGGAAACAGGCCCAGGTTAGACCTCCATCGGGGAAGCACCGGGTGGACGGGGTGTGCGGGAGCCTCCTGCTGGGAGGCGGCCCCGCACACATTCGTTTGTGCCTCGCAGGCAGTCCGGAGCGCAGTGCTGTGCTGGGTCCTGAGACTGCGCGGGACTCGGTCAGACGGAGCCTGCAGGGCCAGGAGCGGTGGCGGGAGAGGTGCCGAGCTAATGCGGGGAGCCTGGCTATGTGGCTGTGGAGGCTGACAATGGCTCTCCCCCCCGAACCTGGGCCGTGACCTTATTAGGGCACAGGCCCTGCCGATGCGCCTGCGTTTAGGGCCTGGAGATAAAGCTCATCCTGCTCAGTCCTGGCCCAGCCACCACCCACCCCACTCCACCCCCCGGGCCCAGCCGCCGCCCCGGCCAGTCGACCCTCCCTGGGGCCTCCGGAGGGAACACGGCTTCTGGCCTCCAGAGCTGAGAGTCCCCTCCTGTCACTTTAAACACCCAGTCCGCCCGTCCACCCAGCCGTGGTCCTCTGTTAGGGCAGTTGCAGGGGACAGCCTGCGCCGGGCGGGCCCCGCTCCCCGGGGAGCCCAGGACTCAGAGGAGGGAGCGACCAGCAGGACGGGGTGGCGGCTGGGAGGCGGGGTGTCTGGCGATAGGAGGCACCTCCCCTCGGGGCACCTCGGCTCTCACACCTGCAGGAGCTCAGCCAGCTGTGGCCGGGCAGCCGCTGGCATGACCACCCGCTGGGCATTCACATGCCACCCCTCAGCCCGGGAGAACCCGCACTCCGTGCCAAGAAACACGAAGCAGAGAGTGCGAGGGGGCTAATGAGGCCCTGGGCGGGCGTCTCCCCGAGGCCCTCCCCGCCCCAGGCAGGGATCGCCTGGAAGCCCCCGCCCGCCTGCTGCCCGGGGAGCAGCTCCTGGCGGCGAACGGCGACGGTTCCCTCCGCGCTGGCGGCCAGGCTCGTTCCAACGGGAAGCAGCGGCGCCCGCAGCAGCGTCCAGCGCACAGGTCCGCACAGCCCGCTCCCACGGCTCTGGGTGGGGAGGGAGGGCGCCCGGAGGGGGCGGCCGCCTGCCGACTCTGCCTCTTGGCGGGCACCGGGCCTCCTGCCCTCGCCCTCTGCCCACGGCCCCAGCTGCTCCTGCCGAGGTGACCCCGGGACAGAGGCAGCCCCTCCCTGGGGTGAGTGGAGGCACCAGCCCGGAGGGCACACGTGGCCTTGCCCGCAGGCTGGGCGGCCTCGGAGAGCCTCGAGGACTCGGCAAGACGGTTCACGCCTTACCCGGCCCGCAGAGGGCACGGCTCCGCTCACTGGTGTCAGGCTCGCTCTGGCCTGGGTGGCGTGTGTTCCTAAACTGGCGTCACGCAAACCGCGGCCACTCGGAGGCCTGCACACGGGATCATCACGGAGCTGGTGTGAGCCCTTCCCCACGGGCCCGGACCGGGCTGCCCCCGGCCGCTCGCACCCCCGCAGACGCCGCTTCGCTGAGCGTCCTCGCCAGGCGCCAGGGGGTCCGCGGAGGCCGGAGCTGGGCGGACGGGCGCAGAGCAGCGGGCCGTGCGCTCTGCTCGGGGCCCCGGGCTGCTGGCCCAGAGCCAGCGCGGTGGGAGCATTTACACCACGGACATTGGCGAACTGGTGATCTGGGCCGGTCATCGAGCCTCTACCAGCGCCCGCCGGCCTGCCCTGAGCGGACCTGACCGCGGCCACTCCCCGGGGCCGGGAGGCCAGCTTCCCCCGAAGCCCCTCATGGCACGTCACCCTGAGGGGCGGGCGGGAGGAAGGCGGGAGGAAGGTGCGTCCCTGACCCCTGGCAAAGCCGGGATTTCCCGCGGGCGC